ATATAAAGTAAACTTCTAGAGCTAATACATTTTATCACATTGATATTATCTCTTCAAGCTGTTTCAAGAAAAAAGAAGTGGAGACATCTTTGCATTTCACTTTTAAAACTAAGGATAAATTTAATAGCAATATCATTTAATGAAAGTGTACTCATTTAAACTTTCTTATGTTCATGTATTGAAAGAGGATATGCTTTTGAAGGAAAAACATTTTAGAGGTTAGGCCTGCTGAGGATTGCTAACTCAAAAAAATCAGCAACAAAAACTAAGTTCTGTGAACAAGAAATATAAAACTGTGTAAATAAAAAAATATTGCTGGATGATTCGAGTTGTTTTTTTTTCTCCCCAAAGAGCAACAGACCTCCCAAACACCCAAAATTATCTTGGGCTTACTCTAACAAATAATGCTTTGGGAAATCCTTCTAGTATAAATGATATGCTATGCGTGATAAATGTACAACTCTACATCCAGCAAGGCTTGTAACTGCACAGCCGAAATATACACAATTTATTTTGGAGAAAGGATTACCAAATGGGGTATGTAACAATAAGTATAGAAGGCAGTCTTTCCCTGGAAGATGAAAAACAATCAAATATTGTCCTACAGAAAGGCCTCAGATTATTTGTATAAGTTCAAGGGCAAGGTTAAAATGTTAGACAAATATTAATTCCAGTTTTCTATATGCAGTGCACAGGTGCGACTTGAACAGCATATTATATGGTATAATCATTAAATTCATTCAACCAGACCTTAGAGAGTTAAAAACATATATTCTGAGGAACAGGACTCCTCGGTCCAAAGAATGAGAATGAAACAGTGCAGAATATTTGTGTATCAAGGTGATTCCAGTTTCCAACTGGGAAAACGGGACTGTTAACACCCACGTCCCATGACAACTGTCCAATTATGTATATCACACTTGGCCTACTGTTTGCAGTAGAAGTAATCAATAAAGGATGTGGTTGAGTGAACATAGATTTTGGTTGAACCAATGCATGAAAACTTAATCATTTACTCAGAGAGAAGAAATCAAATAGAGCCGAGATGAAACAGCCACTAAGGGGTTTGTTGATTGTGCCACCAAGTTTGCGGGCCACAGACGAAAGTAATAAGGCAAATGGGATCAGTGACAGGAGAAAATGTAAAAGGCTATTCTTAATTTCATGAATTAATAGAAATGTTTTGATGTATTTTTTTGGTCATTTTTAGGAAATTTCACATCGAAGCCTGAATGTTCCATTTTAAAGAATATATGAAAATTACTAGGGCGTGTCATTTCTCTCAAGCAAGGAGAAATTAATTTTCAGCTATAATAGAAAGGTAATTTCCACACTTGAAACTTTGTACTGATTGATTTAAAGATCTACACTGTGGAAAGTTTTCTAGGAAATAATTTAATCAGAGTTCACAAGAAAATTTACCATCAGTGTGGAATAAACCCAGAATGGGCCATTTGTGACCATTGTGTCATGAACATAGTTTTGTGGTATTTTTCTAGATTCTTCCAAACAGTCACCCTAATTTTTTTAAAAGAGTTATGGTATTTCACTAAATTAGTTACTTCAATAAATGAGGGAATACATGTATTATGTATTCTGAGCACACACCACACACACACACACACACACACACACACACACACACCATAAGGTAAACTGAAGATAGTCATTTCTGCATTTACCTGAAATATCTATCTATCTAATAATAATAATATTTCTTCTTAATTTTCCAACTCACTTTTTCTTAGTTTAATGGGCCATCATTCTGGCTTTTATAATAGCATCATAAAGCAATTTTGGAACATAATTCTTTTCTCCCCCACTTGTATTTGAAGTAAGGGGATAAAGATATTGCCAATGGTGATTTTCTTTCATATCACTTTCACTTAATTGCATATTTGTGCAATTAAATTATTCAGATCAATGGAAAAGATAGCAAAACTTGTTCACTATTAAAAGCCTCCTCAACATCGAACACTAGGTCTGGGCCTAGCATTGCCAAATGGGCAACACTACATTACCAAATCCTCAGTTGTAAGAGAAAGTGGTACATTTTTCAGTTGAGGGATTCGTATAAATTCTTATAACCATTTTAGAAGCTTCCAGGCTTAAAGCTTATTCACCTTTCATGCATGCTCGGCTGATGGCCTTAGACACACACTTATCTTAGACATGGCTATCCTCTTCCATTTCCTTTAAAGAGATAAAATATGTTTATAGAGATAGGGCTACCATTAGTGAAACTGGCACAATTGCACAGGTTAGGGAAAAGAGATTTAGAGGTGATGCTAAGCTTCGTACACAGCTTGATTTATCTCTCAGCCACCGCCACCATAAATTCCTCTGTTTTGGCTGTGTTCCATTCCTTGCATGTTATTGCTAACTTGCAAGAAGACAGTGTAGGATGATGAAAATGAATACATATATATATATATATATATATATATATATTCATGTGGGGACACACATGCTTATTAAAAATATTAAACCATCAAAGTAATATTTTTGAAAAATAACTATAAATTTTATGTCTAATAATTTGGCTATTTAATGATTTAATAATGCTTCTTAGATATCTAGGGTGCTGTTGTCTACTTATATAGAAATTTTGGTTTTAAAACATTTACCTGTCAAAAGATCATATCTAATATTTTGCAATATTCTTGAATTCTTGCTGCAAAAACACACCAGGCTAACACTCCCAAGAGTGTTCCTCTATAACCATCCCCACTGTGAAGTGCCAGATTTGCATGGGAAATTTTTGGCCTTCAGAGATTTTCCCCCTTATGACCTTAGAAAAAATGTCCTCTGTAATCTCTTGTACATGGCATAACATTTTAAAATAAGACTATGTCTACTATATGAATCATTGATAGCTTTATAATATTGTTGTAGAAGGGAATTCTTTCTATTTGGTATAAAAAAGGAAATGGGAATAGGTCTTCTTGCTCTGTTATATGTTTGCCCTCAGGCAAGTTGCTGGGCTTCTGAGAATTTGGGGACAGAACCATCTCTATGACTATGAAAACAGCACGTGATCAATCAAACACAGCTATATTTATTCCCACTCCTAAACCCAAGTAACACATCTGCAATAATTAAATCATTCAATTGTCGCTTATTTCAAAACATATAAGTCAATTGTTCAAACCTCTCCCCCTTTTTTGGACTGCACACACCAGAAATTCAGATCATGAAGTACAGAATAAATATTACAGATGAGACATAGGTGAACAAGTTGAGAATTATTTGGAATCAATTTTAAAAGTATCAAAAATTATTATAAAGACCATCATTTGTCAAAAGGACAGTCTAGTATTTGTCCTGTGACAAATACCTATGACAAGAGCTCAGTAAGTTTTATACACAATATACTTTCTCCATCTCTTTAATTATGTTTATTTTTTGTTACTTTTAGATACAATGAAAACATCATTTTGCAATATTATTTTAGGAACAAGATAAGGGATGCGTTAGGATAACTGTATAAGCCTAGGCCAGGTTTGTTACTCTGAAGAAGCACAAGAAATCTAGTGATTTTCTACTGATTTGGGGCAGTAATAACAGCTGAGTGAAGTAATTTAGTAGTTAAAATGAACTGGACAAAAGAACACAGAATGAATTTGTTCCAAACAGACATTAAATTGAACTTACTAATCTCTCTTTGTATTCAAGTAACTCTTTCTTGGTTGCTATTTGAAAAGTAAAGCTTTTAAGGGGTAACTAGTTTGGTCATCAAAGAACTAGTTAGCACTCTCTACTTGGAAGTGGGCCCTGTCTTTCTTAAGTAAATTTCCAAACTCTTCTTGTTAAATATATCCATGTTCCTAAGCTATTTATTCACTAATGAATCTGTTTTATTTAGTATTTTGAATGATACCTTTCATTTCACTGGCATTGAGTCGGGCATGATGGTTTGTGTCTATAATCCCAGCACATAGGAGACTGAGGCAGGAGCATGGCTAGGAGTGCAAGTCTAGCCTGGGCTACATAGCGAGTTCAGGGCCAGTCTAAACTACACAGGGAGACCTTGTATCAAAACACAAAACAAACACAAACATACAAACAAAAAACACCCAAAAGAAAACAAGCATTTCCCTGGCATTGATATGCTAAGTAGTGATTATTATATTAGCAATGGTGCTTACATGTCTACACTTTGACTCAATAATAATTATTAAGTGTCTTTCAAATAACAATTGTACCTCTTAAAACACCACCTTAAATATGTTTACAATGAGGTATAAGTGGAAAGAGATCAGAACTTAACACAATCTTTATCTTTTACCACTACTGTTATTATTTAAAACGTTTTATAGCTATAACATGGAAAACCAAGCCCCTAACTTGAATAACTTTTATTTTTGTTGTTCTATGTTGACCAAGTCACAGGATCAGGATATAATGCACAACTCAATGGAGTACACAGCAATTATAATACAATGAGTAATGGGTAAACGTATTTGTTTTTTGGAGGGGAAACTCATGTATGCTTTTATTACATTGTCTGCTTTAAATAAAATACTAGAAATACTGGTTTCTGTGTTCAACTGTTTATCCACATATACTCAAAGAAAAGCTGTCTTAATGGAAGAAGCATGACTAAAGCATAAATGGAAACTTTCCTTAAAGAAGAGCTCTAGAAAGGTTATGGCAAGCTATGGTTATTGAAGCGTAGGGCACAGAGCTCTTCTCTCTGCCTCCCTAACCTATGAGATGTGACCTGATTCTCTCCCTCCTTTCATCCAAGGTCACTGCTAAACTTACAGAAGACCAAAAAGAGAAAAAGATACGAAGGAGGAATAGACATAGGAGAGTCTGAATGTGTCTCTTCAAGTACCACGCTGGTTTAAAGTAACTTATGATGAAAGGGTCACTTAAGAAGGGCATTGCTTAAAATTTAAGCAGGCAGTAATGGAAAGCGACAGACCTCAAACAATTTAAGTCTTTCACAGTTGAGTGGGCACACAGTGACAGCAAGACAGGATGTGCGGACTTACCTTTGCAGGACCTTGGCTATGGCTTCATAGGCTCTCCCCAGGCCGAGATCATCGCTGAGGTGTGTGGAGATTTCACTGCAGGTGTTAAGGACCTATCAGGCAGAGAAACACACACTGAAAACACAGCACTGATATGGCCACTGATGCTGCCTTCCAGGATGGAAAAGATTAAAATTAACAGTTATTTTTAATGTCTCTATAAAAACTTTGTCTATTAAAAATTCATGTTGGCTTGGTTTATTTTTATCTATAGTATAACTTGTTTCATGGCAATCTCTTTGAGCTGTACCAGCGAAGTCTTACTCTAGTAAAAATAATTATTTTGTTACACTATTTCTAATCTTTCAATTTATGCAACTTAGGTGTGAATAAATAATTGAATGGTTTACAACATTATTTTAAAAGATGGGACTATTATCAAAGGTAATATACAGCAGATTATAATATTCTACTATACTCGCTTCAAAATCACTTTTCTTTCTATAAATAGCTACTTGAAAAACATGAATTTAGGCGACAGGCCATTTCTAGATCTATCATTTTATTAGATGTACATTTCACAGTGAGTAAATAAATATAGTATTTACTAAAAATATTTCTTACAAATGTACTTCATTACCCAAAATCTCTTCAATAATCCAAAGATTATAGCTACCATAGGCAAACATATGATCTTAATTTAATTTAACACCAACATCATCTGTATGGTTTTATTTTTCTCTTTTCCATTCTTTGGTCCTTTTCAATGGCCAAAAGGAGAAAACTACATAAAAAGTTCCCCTTTTTTCTTTTTCCTTTATTGTTACTTTACCCAACCGATTACACACATGAGGGCACATGCAATCTCCGAAGACCTCTATGAAAATCCTTTTTACATATCTTCTGGGAAAGAATTAGTGAACATCATCTGATGGCATTTGACATGCCCTGTGTGCTACTATGTAAATGAAGTGGCCTACAAAGTTTAGGGATGAAGGCAGGATTGATATTTGTCTTCACTTTAAAAGTTAATATTTGCAAAATAATTTCAGTGAGGCCATTGTGACAGCTCATGAAGCCTGGGTTTCACGTGGTTTACAAGTGGCTGCTTGACATGATGATAATGCTAAGACTTACTCATGGGTGTTTATTAACCCAGCATTCTAATTCCTGCTAAGCCTGTAAAGTTCATTTATTTATTTATTTATATCAATTTTATTGAGAAAAATTGCAATGTGACAGCTTCAAAACAGGTTGGTATTAGAGTTACAACAATTAATACATTGTATATCGTTGTCTTTGTAGTAGCCATTCATAGCACAAGATGCAGACATGATATCCTGTCCAAACACTACTAGGACAGATCTTTCTTCTTAATGAATTAGGAGAAAGTAGCTATATATCTATCCTGACTATCTTGCATAACAGATACAAAATTGTCCTTCATTTATATCACCTTTTTTTGTTCAGTTTTGTCAGAGATGGGTATTCCACTGCCATCCAAATATTGTAGGTGCATGAATTCAGCAAAATATTTCAATATAGTCCTGTACTCCACAATAGTAGTGGGTTATCCACAGGACTGGCAATGTCCGAATCTGATGACTTGAGCCTTCCACAGCTCAGCATATTAATATGTAAGCCTGTAAAGTTTAAATTGTTTGAATGTTTTTGCACTTTAGAAGCATTTCATTAGTTTGATTTAGTAAGTAATCGTTGTGTTTATCAGACACAATGTAATGTTTTGATCTATGTATTTACTGGAGAAAGATTTAATTGAAATAATGAATATACCCATCACTCTTGACATTTTAATAGTAAGAATATTAAAAATCTATTCTTTTTGTACTTTTGAAATGTTCACTACTATTAACCTTGATTCTTATTTTGAAGCTTGCTAATGATACCTTGTATAGGTCTGAGGATATTGTTGTCAATCTGTCTCACACAGCTGATAACAACCAGTTTAACCTGATGTGAACTGATGCAGACCTGGAGTAGGAGGTTCTTAAATTGGTGAATTTATAAGAGATCATATTGAATCCAAAAAACAAATATTTAGGAAGATATTTTGGTCCACATATTTTTAAATGAGATTCTAAAGCCTCCAAGTAAGGACTGAATATTATATTTGAGCCAAAAATAGTTCCTTTGTCTTTTCCAGCAGATACCATGACTTGTCCCAGACACTGTTGTGGCCTAGGAATTCCTACACAGATGGGAACATGCCTGTGGTTTAAGATGGGCTTTTGACTTTCATGTGACTTAATTCTACAGTAGCCTCTCCATAGAGACAAATGCATTCTACTGAAAGGAACCCTAACTTTAGAACAAGACTTAGATTCCAGGTCCTAGCTCATCCATATCCATTTGGCTTAGAAAAGTTATTTAGATTTAATTTCTTCATAAATAAAATAGAAAACCTACTTCTGAGAATTGTTATGTGGCTACCAAGAAATCACACAAAATGTCATGTCTTCTTTAGAACAAGAATTTTTTGAACTCTGCTCACCAGACACTAGTGAAGGGTCCCTGGCAGGAGTTTCCTTCTGCAGAATAAGGACAGCCCATTTAATTTGTAGGCTTAAGAGAGTTTGGATATTTCCTTAAACAACTGATTTAAAAACAAATATAGATAAGTAGTTAAAAGAATATGTTAATTATTAACCAAACAGGGAAATAGTCAATTACATGAAATTTATCCTGGGAGTATCTTCTGAAAGAGATGGCTTAAATCAGAGACAAAGCCTCTGTTACTGGATCGGTGAGATAGCTCAGTGGACTAAGCGCCTGTGTAGGCAAGCCCAGGGACTGGAGTTCGATCATGGGTACCACATGCTATGCTGGCCTTGCCCCTGGGTGCGCTGAGCTGGTGACTGAGTCCTGGCATGGTGTCGCACCCCTGAAGTGCTAGCACTGAGGAGGTTGAAAACAGGAGGATCACTATGAGTCCAAGCTGGGTAGTGAGACTCTGTACCAAATACGTAAATCTTCTTTTTTTTTTTAAAGCCTCTGCTACTCATGTTATAGCATTTATAGGCAAAGAATATAATTGATCTTTGTCAAAAGAAAGAAGCAAATATAGGTCAGTATGCTGCTCTGTAAAACTTTTAGGTCAGTGGACACCTAGAGAAGTGATAATAAGGTTGTCAAAGTTGGGAATGTCAGTCCATGTGTCTAATAAACACGGCTACTCCACTGGTTGCCTCAAAAATTTCAGTGTACAGTGGAGACAAAGCTTCAAAACCTATTTCACTAAACTTCACAGACAACAGATCCCTTTTCTCCTTAAAGTGAAATTGAGGTCCTTGGGAGATTTTTTCAATAAAATCCAAGTTCTTAAAATGAGAAAATACTGAGTCCCAGCTCAGGCGCAGCGTGGCCCGGACCCTCTCCCGCCCCCTCGGGCCGCCCCCCACCCCTCCCGCCGAGTAGGAATTTCTGCCGACTTCCGGGAACCCCGAGACCCAGTCCTAGCCCAGGTCC